ATACTAACAACACTTGAAACATTAAAACAAGAGATAAGAATGAAGATGAGAGCCATGACACAAGATTTTTATGCTCCTGATTTGAACAACTACGTACGATACGTTCAAGTTGGCCTCCAGGCATGACACTCATATTTCATGGCATGGTATAAAATGGCCATAAAAATCGTGACCACTAGAGATAGACCACTGAGACTGGGTAGATTGATAATACATTGACCAAGGCTCAATTCAGCCAAATATGACACTGAATCCATGCAGGATGACTGGACTGGGTTATTAAGATTTGTTTGGGTTACGTTTTTGGCTCGCCCTGTATTAAGGAAAAAGTGTTACTTTTGACTAAGGTGTTCTTAACCACACAGTGATATTGAGAAATGAAATGAAGAAGTTCAACTGAAGAATGTTGGATTTCAAGATGAAATAATAAAAATGAGGAAAAGGTTTCTCCGTTAATAAATACTACTGAGTCAACTAGTGTAAATCCCTGGTCTTTATACAGGGCATGGCTCGATTATGAAATTTTGAAATATTGAGGCCCATTTTATTCAAAATTTGGACTGAAATTAAAAGATAAGGCCTTAAAGGCCCTCTTATGACCAAAAAGGCCCACTTTTTAGGGCCTTTTTTGGTCCTAATTTTTATTCTGGGCCCACCAAAGGGGGCCCGGGCCCCCAGCCCCCCCCCCCCCCAGATCCGCCAGTGTTCATTATTTAGTCATCATTATTTTCATGATATATGGAGGTATTTGCATAGAAGTACAATATGCCTAACACACACAATGGATGATCTCTGAGAGAGGGGAGCTGCATTTAGGAAATGGGAACAAACATTTCGTTACTTATTTCCCAGCAGTTTATTTCCCTCCCACTCCTGGATCTGATGGTACACTCTATAATTGTTGTTTTCCGCAGCATCAGAAGTTGGAGGAAGAACACGGGGCTGCAATAATTCAGATCTTGCTGCTCTCTTTTAATAGAATTTTTGAAGCCTAAGTCCATTTTTCCACCATAAATTGAAAAAAGAGCATGTTCCTCTGCAATGACAGAGTTACTTGCATTTCACTGGTTTTCCACTTGATTACGTTGTAACAAAATGTCGGAACATCGAAGATATGATTTTTCTTTTTTCCTTATTTCACGCGTTGTAGGCAGAATTATCAAAAACATGTATCAGTATTATATGTTTAAAAAATGTACATATTTGCGAACAAATAGTTCAGGAGACAACAGAATCGTCGATTTACTTCCTCACTTAAGTTACATAAACGGTATTTTGATAAACAGTTAAGATCTCACTTTGAACTGCCACCGTTTATGTAACTTAATTAAGTACTTGATTACGTTGTAACAAAATGTCGGAACATCGAAGATATGATTTTTCTTTTTTCCTTATTTCAAGCGTTGTAGGCAGAATTATCATTAACATGTATCAGTATTATATGTTTAAAAAATATACATATTTGCGAACAAATAGTTCAGAAGACAACAGAATCGTCGATTTACTTCCTCACTTAAGTTACATATACTTGATAAACAGTTAAGATCTCACTTTGAACTGCCACCGTTTATGTAACTTAATTAAGTAAGGAATTAAATCAACAATTCTGTTGTCTTCTGAGCTATCTTTGCGCAAACATGTACATTTTCTAAAACATATGATACTGATACACGAATGTGAGAAAAAACATCGTGGGGATTCTGCCTACAAGGCGTGAAAAAAAGGAAAAAAGAAATATCGTGCCTTCGACGTTTAGACATTTTGTTACCGAAACGACCCGTTTCGGTAACAAGCGTAATTGATCGTATCACCAGTGCTTTGATAATTTAAAAACAACCGCTTGTTTTCTCAAGAACTCACTCTTTTCTATCTGCCTCAATGATAGCTTCTTGTCTATGCCATATATAACCTGAATGCGTTGTCACACCCCAGAAAAGATAAACAAAATATTGTCACAGACCATTTTTCCCGAAGACAATCTTATTTCATTTATATTCCAACATTTTGATTCTTGGGTTGCTGCTTTTGGTTCAGGTTTGAAGAAAATGTTGAAGTTTGTGTTTTGTCAATGATAAATGAGAAGCACAAGGAGATCTGTATGAGTACTGTATTTGAGGTTTGGAGAGTTTGCATTGCAGTTTTCACAATCACAATATCTGCATCCGATTCTGAATGTAGCACATGTACACTCAATGTTTTCCAACCTGACAGACAGATTTACCATCATTCCTACGCACTGAAATTATATTAATGAAAGACTCTCCAGATATCTGAGATTTAAATGTGCTCTATCAGTTTAAATTCCGTTTAATAACCATAAATTTGTTTCTACAGCATTATACATCCAATTGATAGTTCCAAAGTAATGTACTCTTATGTAATGATTTATTTATCTGATGAATTTAAATTTTGTAATTTGCGGATTGTAAATAATAATTTAAACAATATTAAATTCCACAGAAACTACAACTTACATTATTTAGATAAGCAGAGTATAGAGCAGTTATCAAATACCCTAATAACAAATAGTTCAGAAGACAACAGAATCGTTGATTTACTTCCTCACTTAAGTTACATAAACGGTATTTTGATAAACAGTTAAGATCTCACTTTGAACTGCCACCGTTTATGTAACTTAATTAAGTAAGGAATTAAATCAACAATTCTGTTGTCTTCTGAGCTATCTTTGCGCAAACATGTACATTTTCTAAAACATATGATACTGATACACGAATGTGAGAAAAAACATCGTGGGGATTCTGCCTACAAGGCGTGAAAAAAAGGAAAAAAGAAATATCGTGCCTTCGACGTTTAGACATTTTGTTACCGAAACGACCCGTTTCGGTAACAAGCGTAATTGATCGTATCACCAGTGCTTTGATAATTTAAAAACAACCGCTTGTTTTCTCAAGAACTCACTCTTTTCTATCTGCCTCAATGATAGCTTCTTGTCTATGCCATATATAACCTGAATGCGTTGTCACACCCCAGAAAAGATAAACAAAATATTGTCACAGACCATTTTTCCCGAAGACAATCTTATTTCATTTATATTCCAACATTTTGATTCTTGGGTTGCTGCTTTTGGTTCAGGTTTGAAGAAAATGTTGAAGTTTGTGTTTTGTCAATGATAAATGAGAAGCACAAGGAGATCTGTATGAGTACTGTATTTGAGGTTTGGAGAGTTTGCATTGCAGTTTTCACAATCACAATATCTGCATCCGATTCTGAATGTAGCACATGTACACTCAATGTTTTCCAACCTGACAGACAGATTTACCATCATTCCTACGCACTGAAATTATATTAATGAAAGACTCTCCAGATATCTGAGATTTAAATGTGCTCTATCAGTTTAAATTCCGTTTAATAACCATAAATTCGTTTCTACAGCATTATACATCCAATTGATAGTTCCAAAGTAATGTACTCTTATGTAATGATTTATTTATCTGATGAATCTAAATTTTGTAATTTGCGGATTGTAAATAATAATTTAAACAATATTAAATTCCACAGAAACTACAACTTACATTATTTAGATAAGCAGAGTATAGAGCAGTTATCAAATACCCTAATATCAGAGTGGTGATATGTAATTATTCATCAAATACAAGTGAGGTCACCTTAACATTTCGCCTGGTGCAACTAATAATTCCTATTTTTCATACTAATAAGGTATAAACCGTCACAAAACTTGTATTTTAGATGATGACAATCCTATATAAATGATTTAGATGTCAACTCTAATACAAATGTGATGCATTGTGGGAGTTAGTCATCAAAACTATAGTCTCCCTTATAGTAGGCGGGGCAAAATTATGAAAATGAAATTTTTTTTTTCTTCCTAAGTATACATGTTAGAATTCTGACACTCAACAAATATGAAGTTCATATAAATATGTAACACCATGATTTTTTTCATGCTGTTCTGACAAACTGATCCTAAAATATCTAAATAGATATGGGATAACATGCCTGTTTTGTGGCCTATTTTTTATACTTTGGGATCAAATGACCAATAACTGGTCTCAAAAATGATTAAAATAATATTTTAATTATTTGTGAATATGTGTTCTATCATAATAAAGCTTGAATACTTGACTAAAGTATTCGATTTGGGAACAAAAAATTGTTTCCTACCAATACTCAATTTTGGAGTAGGGTTGTAGGGGGTACATAGGAAGTGAAATTTCATATTTGTCCACTGCATACATTTTTCTACATTTTTGATATGTTTTTCAACTGATATCAATACATAATATAAGACTAATTTAAAAACTGTTGCAATTTTGGGGATGTTTGGGCCTTTTATAAGCCCATTTGCTTGGCCTATTTAGCGATCCCAAGGCTATCTTATATAACCATTCATTTAAGTAAGATTGTCCAGTTTATCAGAATGAAGGTTATCTTTAAGGATACTGTATGATACACCATGTTACCAGGGGTTATAACATTACCATGAACCATGTAGATGGTCATGATTATGTTCTTGTTATATTTTTAACACTATGGTCCATAAGGCACCTCTCTGTCTTCTATTTCACACCTTTAATGAAGGTACTTTTAAAATATTGGGCCAGGAAAGGCATGATAGGCAACTCCTGAGGCAACTTTTGAAGAATATTCTCTTACATTGGATTATTGAAGGCACATTAGGCAACTTTTCAAGAATCGTCCCTTATCATCATTGAAGGCACAAGAGGCAACATTTGAAAAATCTTGGGTTATTATGTTACTTAACTAAAGCACATGAGGCAATGTTTGAAAGTTTTCCTAATACATACACTCAAAATATAATCTATAAAAGACCTGCAAGAACGCGGAATAAATTTAATTATACTGTTAAACAAAGTTGGATAAAATTCGGAAACCATCGTCATCCAATGAGATCAGTTAGCGAGTAAAGTGAGTGAGTAAATCAATACAAGCTGCATGGGTATTACTTACCAACTGCTTTATTTCAGCATTCACACAGCGAGATCTCACTAGAACAGTATAAAGGCCTAAAGCAAGCAATACAAAATCCATAGAATTTATTACTACAAGGGAGACAGATAATATGAGAGCTATCTTCTAAGTGATAATGAACTAATCGGATATAGAATGAATTAATACACGGTGCATTTTCAAACCTATTAAGGTAAGGAGGGTCAGTGACGATTTTGAGGTGTTTTTTAATAAAACGGACACAAGTTAGTAATTAGTTTATTTTTGTTGTTAGGTTTGCTTAAGTTTTTATAAGAGTATTAGTTTGAGAGATGCCTTCTTCAGGTGAAAAAGTAATTTGCATCAATCTATGAAAAATATACATGTACTTTGAAAATAAAACTATATTTTATTTACTTTTGGCAATTCAAAATTATATATATATAAAAATACATTGACATTTCTACTAAAAGTTATTGATCTTAATTACAAGAGCATCTAAGGCAATAATAAAAATACAAGTTAATTCTAAATCACTTACGTTACATTAAAATAGTTTTTGCGCTTTCCAGATATTGCCTTGTATGCTTTCTTATGGTTTCATTTTATAGCTGTAGAAACAATGAAAATTGTGTTTTTAAATAAAAGGGTTTTACAATCATATAAAAATGCATTTACTGATTTATCAACATTAGAACAGAGAAAACTACTAGGAAACAAAAAAAATGCAACGGATATTTTATCTAGGGGGGAAAAAGAGGCGAAGAATCTCAAAGAAAGATTCAAAGGGGAGAATCTCAAGATGAGATTTAAGAGAAGAATCTAAGGGAAGAATCTCAGGTGATTTATATGAAGGGTCTCAATGAGAAATCAAAGGGAAATCTAAGGGAAATATCAAAGGGAAATATCTCAACCTGAAATGCAATGAACTGGAATCTCATAGAGAAATCTAAGGGCAATGGATGACTTCAGTTGAAGATAAATGTTAAACGTAGGTATATAACTGAAAGGCTATAGTATAGAAAAAACATCAAAGCCAGAGAACAGAGCACTGCACCATTCACAATACAATTGAATACAAATACGATATTGCTTATAAATCTTGCCTGACCTTTAATGTTGCAGTTGTAATAGAGTCAGCTACTAATTGATGGATCCAACAGATTGAACAATTCGAATAAAACCCTTGAGAAAAATAAAATAGGAAAAAACACTGAAAATGAATAATCATTTACAAATAGAAGTTAAAGTTTATTTTAACATTGAATATTGATTTGCGGATTAAAATGCCGTTATGTTTGCATTATGTCATCGGTATGTGCAGGTAAATTTGAAAGGGATGGATTTCCCTGGAAGATTACTATGTTGCAATTATTGCCTTTCGTACATAAAAAGACATATGCTATTATCAATTTCCCACCATTTGTTGAAGAAAATCGAATTATGTATCTGGAATCTGGCAGTTCTATCTGATTTAGAGTCTCAGACTATTTTCAATCCAAACAAATTTCCCTTCTTTCCATTCTTTTTCAAGTTTCAAAACATGGCGATCACGATTTTTTTATTGGGTTTGTGTGTAATAAGTCAACATTCTTGTATTATATTGTCAGAATAACAGAACACAGGATATTGACTTTGAGGAGCCGCACTATTTTCTTGAAACTGAGACATAATCTTTGAGAAAATTAGTTTCTGGAAGTTACTATAACTTTGCTTCTTATGTAGACATACAACATATTTTCTACGTATAAAAGGCTCCTTTATGTTTATGTAGTTCTTTCGAATATATTCACATTTAAAATATGAAAAAAGATAAAAAATTGACATTGACAGTCAGTGATTTTATTACTGTTGTTATTTGCATTTTAATGATTTAATAAAACATCAATTTAATCAATCAATTCATCATTTCTGACATTATTGAAAACCTTGATTGGTTTTAGGATCATCGACCAGATTCAGATATCTCTAAATTATGTAAAAAAAAAAACAGTAACTGGAGAATTCTAGAAAAAAATCAAGAGCATTATTTTAGGATGGGCAGTATGTGCATATAGACACAACAGATGTTTCACATAATCTGGTTATGTGATTTACTTAATGAAACATGCAATTCAAATTATATCAATTATAAAAATAATATAAAACCAATACATAGGGATTGTTAATGGTAAATGAATAACACAGGATATCATCAAATATAATTTAATTGCACAAAAAATAAAGATGGTATATCAATTACAATTCATGATAATCTCAGAATACAGTTTCATAAATTGATCATCAAATTAGGATGATATAAAAAATCATTAAATGGGCTTGGTTTTTAAGAACCAAAATTCCTCACTTTGTGCACCAATGCACTGCTCATAATGAATGTAACATCACAACTATATTAGCTAACATAATGTTTTTGTCATTTGAAAGGTTGTCAATTTATTTATGTTTCTTAAAAGTTTCAACCAAAGCTTTATAAAGTAAATAACATATCAGTAAAATGAGTAAAACAAGCCATTAACCCTCTCTAACAAGTATTCTTCTAGCGAAAACCAGAGACAGATAATATCATATAAAAATCAATGCAGGGCCAATCATATTCTACATGATATATCTCTAGCATTTGAATAAAGTATCTAATCTTCTTGTTTTCAATAGTGTTTTCTATAATTCAGATTGTGTATTTTCCGCAGTTAGCCCCAGTCTGTGATAACCTAACAGCCTTCCGTCTTATTTCTACTTCAATATATATGACAAACGTGTTACTTTTCTTTTGGGTAATTATAATTTCCATACCACTTACTCCCTAATATGGCTGTTGACGTCTTTTTCAGGATGAAACACATTTTATTGATGAAATAAACCATGAAAACTGCAAATAAACTAGGAAATTCTGTCTTGACCGTATCAATGAGGAATCTCAAAGCAATGTTTTAGTATTTTTTTAGTGTGTTTTTATGATAACAAATGGCTTTGTGCTATGTGTTAAACCTACGCTTAAAAAGTTTGACATCGCATCCTTAAGATTCATTTTCTCAATGGAATCTGAATGAAACAGTTTATTTTCTGCTACGTTAGATGTCATGTCACTTTGTGTGTCATGCATGGGTGCTCTACCCCTTGCTTATTCACACACACACATTTTCGTTCTCTTTAATGAAAACATTAGCAATATGAGAAAACTTTCTAGAATATCTATTCTCAAAGTACTCTTGGAAGATTGGATGTTTCGCTATATTGAACAATAGTACTGAATGAATGGGAATTTATGTTTACATCATTCTATTGATGTTCTTGTTTATTTATTATGTGTCCATTAACTTACTAGATAAACATTTGTATGTTATCATTTGGAATATGAAATCATGCTACTGACAATATTCAATATTCAAGTTTAAGTATAGGAAATGTTATGCAATCACTAGTTCTGACAAAGTGAGAAGACAAGCATGTTTGAACTTTTATTTGAAGCAGATGTCTTAATCTCATATGTATATGTATAGGTGCAAAAAGTCACATACTTCAATCAATATATTTGACTGAGCCCCCTCTCAGAGGAAAATCTTATTTACCTGTTTATTTAACATTATATAGTTCAAAAGGGGCAAACAATCATGCTTCATGACAACTTTTACAGCAGTTGCTTTCTAAATGTGGTAATTTTCTCTGACGTAATCGTATAATTATTGTGCACACTTTTAGCACATGTTCCTTCCAGCTCGCTGATTGGTTGAGAAAACGGTCAGCATGGTAGGTGTGAAATGATTAATGACCCGAGCTGTCATGGGCATCGGTCTTGGGGGCAGGGCTGCTAAACTGTAATATAATCTAAACTAGGCAGAGGGTAATAACCCATACTGAACAAAAATTCAGGAAACTTATTCTAATCATTCAAACCCTAAAGAGAAACAGAATGACAAGCGTTAGCAGACCGATTTCTAAACATTAGAATTCACCCATTTTTAAGTGAGATTAAAGACTAGTATGACATTTTGTCTGTAGTACAATGCAAAATGTAGCGATCTCTTTAACAGCATTACAAATGAGATTGGGCATGTAACACTGGTTCAATCAATTGTAGAGTAATTGCAATGATCATCTGAATTCAAAGTAGTCTCTACTTAAAGATCCCGTCCCAAATAGAAAATTCTGGTTATAGACATTATACGAGTATTGTATGTTTGATGTGTAAGTCACGAGAATGATTTAAGCACTTCGTTTTGATTGCACCAATTGTACTCGTTCTTTGATCGCTGCAACAGTCGAGTAGTTTCAGGGATATTAAAGCCTTACAGTTCTTTGACTTCAGATGGCCCTTTGGAATTCAAAGGGAATATCTGTTTTAATAGATAAAAAGAAGAAATATATTTAGAAAACATGACATAACAATAGGAAGCTGAACAAATTGAGATTAAAATACAAATTCTTAAATGGTGTATCATCAACAGTACTTATAAGTAGTATGCTAATAAAACACCGTAATGTCTCGTTATATTGACAAGCTAGAATGTGCCATTTGCACTACGGACAAATCAGGGTGCTTCAAAGCGACTATTAATAAAATATAATAGCTCATAAAACAGACTTCTTCGCTACACTGCAGTAATTTATGTCACATAGCCTTGATGATGTATTTTATGGAATATGCAATAGGTACGTTTAAACATCCATACCCTTTGAATTATCTGAAGATGCAAGAACTTTTGGTGCTTTGACATTTTGATATCTATGATGACGTCTGCTCCTATTGTGCATTATGGGTAAAATGCTATTAATATATTGTTATCCAAGATTGTTATGACACTCACTGTTTGGTCTAACTATATATTATGTTGACATATTGGGTTAACATTCATAACTATTTTTATATAAATTTGTGGCACACGCCGGCTGCTTAACAGATGGTGCATTATGGGTAAACCCATGAATCCTAAATAATATCAAGTACTTAACCTGATTAGTGTCCTAAGACTGTCAGATTTCCCTCTAATAACCTGATAATTATCCTTTCATGATAACACATAGGTAAGGTGCCTATTAAATATCTCGGCAAACATGTTTTGAATTACAAGATGAGAGAATCGACAAAGGAAAAGTGAAAACGAGCAAAAGTACAAATTTGATTTCTCAAGAAATATAAAAATATAATAAAAAAATCAAAGGCTTCATTCAACTTTAGGGTAAAAAGAGAAATAATGGTGAAAGCCAGAGAAAGAA